GTATGGTATGTATGTATGTATGGTATGTATGTATGGTATGTATGTATGGTATGTATGTATGGTATGTATGTATGGTATGTATGTATGTATGGTATGTATGTATGGTATGTATGTATGGTATGTATGTATGTATGTATGTATACAAACTAAATACAGTATCAGAATGTTATATATTTATACTTCTTATTCATCCAGTTAAATTCCTTCTGTCCAGGACAGTTTATCAGGATAGTATATTTTAACAATAATCTGGAATAAAACAAGAATGACTTTCTACTTCTTACTTTTTTAAAAAATGTAAGGAGTAGAAACAGATAGTTGTGTAAAAGGAAAAAGTACGCTGAAAAATAATTATTCAAGTAAAGTACAGATAGCCAAAATTTCTACTAAAGTAAAGTATTTGTACTTAGTTACTTTAAACCTCTGTTTTTTTAAAGTTTAGTGTCAACTATAGAATGTTTTCTGGTCAGCTAATGAACACATTTTTAATCACAGTTAACTAGTAGTAGTTTGTGTTTCACTATGAAGGTATTTGAATATTAGCTGACAGTTGTTGACTTTAGTGGATTTAAAAACAACTAGTGGTATTTTTAACCATCTAATTGGAGCCAAAGTTGTACTAGTCAGCCATTTGACTCACTAGTAACCCAAAAATCCCAACTAGTTTATTTTATCACACACTAACTGACTGATGGACTAGTTGACTGTGTTGTACAAGTTAACTAGTGTCTTAATTTTGAACCCAGATTGCACCGACTGACAACTAGTTCAACCTAAACTGTAACCAGCTGACATGTTTTTGTTCGAACCACTCAGTGCAGCTGAAAATGACAAATGTTGACTGGTTAATTAGCAAGGCCAGATTTACTGTCACTAGTTAACACTTTAGAATTGGCTACTAGTTAAATTTTCATGTCTCAGTAGTCGACTGGTGAATGTGTGTTTTTAGATAATTACCAGTTACCTTGAATGACAGATTAACTAGTTTAACAGCTGTCAAACAAACCAACTGTTCAGCAAACTATTTACCTGCAGCTCCAACTAGTTGAACAGAAAGTGTCACTAGTTAGTCTGTTAAACTGTGACCAAACGTCCAGCTGGTGCAGACTGGTCACAGAGCAGTGGTGAGAGGAAGGATGTGGAATAAATGACCAAAGGGCTTGCCGTCCTGACAGGATCTTGAAGGAAGTTTTAGTTCACAGATCTTTAACTTTAAAGAAACAAAACAAATTTATTTATTCATTTATTCATTCATTCATTCATTCATTCATACATTCAGCAGAAGCTTTTTAACATTTTATTCCAACCTGGAGTTTTATAAAGTCAAACATAAAATCTGTTATAAAATTTAATTTAATGATAAAAGTCAGACATTTGGTCTTTTTAAACTTTATTAACAGATTGTCTCACTGTTCAAATGTTTCTGTTTAAATGTTTCTGTTTAAATGTTTCTGTTTTAAATGTTTCTGTTTTAAATGTTTCTGGTTTAAATGTTTCTGTTTTAAATGTTTCTGTTTTAAATGTTTCTGGTTTAAATGTTTCTGTTTTAAATGTTTCTGTTTAAATGTTTCTCCTCCAGTCGACGACAAGCAGACATTTCCTGAGGACGTTGTCTTTCAGGACTTCCTGTTTTTGTCCTTCAGGACATTTTTCCACGTCCAGGCGTCCACTCTGCTCACATTTACACTGATTTTCAGTTGTTTTAACGTCCGGCTGACAGACGAGAACAAAACTGTTTCAGGAAAACATTTGGCAGTTTTTTTTTATTTATTTTTTGTTTTTTGGTTGGAAAATAAAATCCAGATACTTTTTAAAAAGCAGCTAAAACTCATTTTAATTAACTTGATTTGATTAATTTTGATTAATAAAAGCAAAATAATTATATTATATTTTTATGAATCATGTTTTTATCTGTAAAGTTTTATTATAATAGATATTTATAATCTAAATCAATAACATAAATGCAGTGAGAAATTTAAAATAAAGGCCCACAGGAAGAAGCTGATCCTTTCAGAATAAGAGTCTTGAAGCTTTCAGAACAAGAGTCTGAGTTTCCTCCTCAGATGGTGAGTCTGCTCCTGATCGGCGTGGCGGCCTGGGGGAAGTGGTTCGGTCTGGTGTCCAGCATCAACGTGGTGGCGGGGGTCATCGGGGTGGGGGTCTTCCTCCTGCTGGTGGCCTTCGTGGGTCTGTGTGGGGCCATGAAGCACCAGCAGGTCCTGCTCTTCTTCGTATCCTTCCTGTCTGTCGTCTGTTTGTCTCCAACCTCCCAGCCATCGAGGGGTTAAAGGTCCTGAACCTGGTCCAGTACATGATCATCCTGTCCCTGGTCTTCGTGCTGCAGTTCTCCATCTCCTGCGCCTGCCTGGCTCTCAACAAGGACCAGCAGGTGAGTCCAGACCACCCACAGGACCCAGACCGCTTGGATCAGGGGTCTGTGGGGGTCCTAAGTTTGGATCAGGGGTCTGTGAGGGTCCTGTTTGGATCAGGGGTCTGTGAGGGTCCTGTTTGGATCAGGGGTCTGTGGGGGTCCTGGGCTTGGATCAGGGGTATGTGAAGATCCTGGGCTTGGATCAGGGGTCTGTGAGGGTCCTGAGTTTGTATCAGGGGTCTCTGAGGGTCCTGAGTTTGTATCAGGGGTCTGTGGGGGTCCTGGGCTTGGATCAGGGGTCTCTGAGGGTCCTGAGTTTGTATCAGGGGTCTCTGAGGGTCCTGAGTTTGTATCAGGGGTCTGTGGGGGTCCTGGGCTTGTATCAGGGGTCTGTGGGGGTCCTGGGCTTGGATCAGGGGTCTGTGGGGGTCCTGGGCTTGGATCAGGGGTCTGTGGGGGTCCTGGGCTTGGATCAGGGGTCTGTGGGGGTCC